TCTGCCTGCCTCTCTGCCTACTTGTGATCTCTGTCAAATAAATAAAAAATCTTAAAAAAAAAAAAAAAAAGACTGTAAAGCCAAAGGAAGTTGGGAATAAATCCTTTTTAGAGAACCATACTGTAGGTATCCATATCCCAAAATCTACTTTCAGTATAGATTTTTTTTAATTAAAGATTTTTATTATTTATTTATTTGACAGACAGAGATCACAAGTAGGTAGAGGGGCAGACAGTGGGGTAGGTGTGGGCAGCAGGCTCCCCGCTGATCAGAGAGCCGGATGTGGGGCTCGATCCTAGGATCCTGGGATCATGACCTGAGCAGAAGGCAGAGAACGTAACCCACTGAACCACCCAGGCGCCCCTACTTTCAGTATTGATTTTAACAGCCAGTCCCCATGTTCTCCTCCAGGGATTTAGTATGAAGGATTTGAGGGGTTTTGTGTGTTTGTTTGTTTGTACAGCAGTGAGTTTTATGTACAATTAGACCCTCTTTTCTTCCATAACGTCTTTTTGCTTCCTGGCATTCTTTATCAAGTGTGTGGAAGGCGAGGTTTACTTTGCTTAAACCTGGGTAGCCTAAAGCCAGTCCCAGTTTTTCAGTAGTCTCTTGATAAGAGATGGGGAAAGACTTTTATTGAAGTAATCAAGACCATCCTTAGACAATAGCAGACCTTTCATTCTATCTCAGTTTTCTTATCTCTTTGATCTTAACCATGTGGTTATGAGGGTCAGGAGTTGGAGCCTCGTGGGCCTGGAGCCTACTTTAACCCACTGAGCCACCCAGGTGCCCCCGGAGCCTACTCTAAAAAAAGAAAAAAGTACAACATAGTGATGTGACAAATCGTACATTATGAAATGCCTGCCACAGTAAGTGTTGTTACATGCATCACTTAACCATTCTGGTTATGGATATAGACATCTCAGGAGGAATTATGTAAAGGGTTAAAGTGTATTGAAAAGGACCATTGTCAACGCGATCTAAGGTACTTAATCTGAAGATGATGAAAAGCAGGAAGGTGCTCTGTATAATGTAGTTTTATTATGCTGGCTTATTATATAGATGCTGTACGTAAATATTTATACATGTGCTGATTTTTTAAAATTTAAGTTTACATAATGATATTTGGAAGGATAAATGCTCATTGTAAGCCCCTCACCCCAACAAAAAAAAAAAATCACTCTGGCTAAAACCGTGGCAGCCCATTGCACCAGTTCTTATATTTGGGTTTCTTTATTCTTTTTTAAAGATTTTATTTATTTATTTGACAGAGAGAGACACAGTGAGAGAGGGAACACAGGCAGGGGGAGTGGGAGAAGGAGAAGCAGGCTTCCTGCTGAGCAGGGAGCCTGATGAGGGCCTGGAGCCCAGGACTCTGGGATCATGACCTGAGCTAAAGGCAGACGCTCAATGACGGAGCCACTCAGGTGCCCCATATATTTGGGTTTCTAAAGATGATTAGCACCACTATCAAGTATGTAGAATAAGTAGAAATCAAAGTTTACAAAATAATAGCGGACATTCAGATGGATGGATTTAGTATGGAGTGGTAGAAGGGACTTAAGCACCGAGGCTTAATTCATCTAACTAGTGAGCCGAATCAGGACTGGAGAGATCAAGCTCTTTTTACTGAATACAGGAGCATAGTGGCTATATTTGTCTTCTCTCTTTTTAATGTACTGTAATGTCAAAATCCAGGTGAAAACCGAACTCATTTGAAATCTTAATATTCAGAGCCCCAGGCAGTACTTTTTTTTTTTTTTAAGATTTTATTGAGTTATTCAACAGAGAGAGAGAGAGAGAGAGATCACAAGTAGGCAGAGAAGCAGGCAGAGAGAGAGGGGGAAGCAGGCTCCCTGCTGTGCAGAGAGCCCGATGTGGGGCTCGATCCCAGGACCCTGAGATCATGACCTGAGCTGAAGGCAGAGGCTTAACCCACTGAGCCACCCAGGTGCCCCCCCAGGCAGTACTTTTTAAGAATGGAATCAAGATTGCCAAGATGTGTGCTTCAGAGGCTCCTAGGTCTGCGTTTGGCCTTCGCCTTCATGTTCCATGTCTGTGTATCGTGCTTCCTTTAGTGGGGAAAAGGTTATTATAGTCTAACTAGGATCATTACCTGTAAAGTTGCTCACCTGTGTCCTCCCAGGTGTAATATTGTATTTACACAGATTGCTCAGGGGTTAGTGATGAATTTACAGAAACAGGATCTTTCAATTATGAAATTCCACATAAAGGTACCATATAGCAGAAGACAGAAAAAGGCAGGGGCATTTTAGCAATTCAGGGATGTTTGTTGCATAAGAAAAACTTACTGTTTTAGGAATTGAGGTACCTAAGTTGGGGATATCTATATTTATTTGGAAGTGGTTAGTAATCTGTATTGAAGAAAATGGGAGATTGATTGTATAGAAGCCAGTTACTCGGGTGGGAGCGGGGCCACCTGCTAGCTGGAACAAGAAAGGTATCCAGTCTTCCCTCTAGGGATGGATACACAAAGTGTGATATGCAGTACAGTGGAATATTTTGTAAAGATTTTATTTATTTATTTTAAAGATTTGTTTATTTAGGGCTCAGTGGGTTAAAAAAAAAGATTTGTTTATTTAGAGAGCATGAGGGGGCAGAGGGAGAGGGAGAGAGAATCTCAAGTGGACTCCCCACTGAACAGGGAGCCTGAGGTGGGGCTCAGTGAAACCAGAGTTGGCTGCTTTACCAACTGAGCCACCCGTGCACCCCTACAGCAGAATATTATGTAGCATTAGGAGGGAAATTCTGTGACATGTTACATGCTAAGTGAAATAAGCCGGTTACAAAAGGACAAATACTGGGATGCCTGGATGGCTCAGTTGGTTGAGTGTCTGATTTTGGCTCAGGTTATGATCTTGGAGTCATGAGATCGAGCCCGGCAGACTCCTCAGACAATGTGGAGTCTGCTTCAGATTATCTGTCTCCGTCTCCCTCTGCTCCTTCCTTTGCCCTCTTGGTCTCTTTCTAAAATAAATAAATCTTAGGGGCACTTGGGTGGCTCATTGGGTTAAGCCTCTGCCTTTGGCCCAGGTAATGATCTCAGAGTCCTGGGATCAAGCCCCGCATCGGAGCTGAGCAGGGAGACAGCTTCCCCCTCTCTCTCTGCCTGCCTCTCTGCCTACTCTCTCTCTCTCTCTCTCTCTAATAAATAAAATCTTTTAAATAAATAAATCTTTTTAAAAAATCACACAAAAGAACAAATACCATATGTTTCCCCTCATATGATGTACCTAGAGTAGCCAAATTCATAGACAAAGAAAGTACAGTAGTAGTAGTTGCTAGGAGCTAGGAGAAAGGGGATTGAAGAGTTAATTGTTTAATATATATATGGAGTTTTATTTTGGAGAGATGAAAAAGTTCTGGAGATGGATGATGGTAATGGTTGCACAATGATGTGAATGTACTTAATGCCACTGAATTGTACACTTAAGAATGATTAAAATAGGGGCACCTGGGTGGCTCAGTGGGTTAGGACCTCTACCTTTGGCTCGGGTCATGATCTCAGGGTTCTGGGATCGAGCCCCGTGTCATCGGGCTCTCTGCTCAGCTGGAGGCCTGCTTTCCCTTCCTCTCTCTCTGCCTGCCGCTCTGCCTACTTGTAATCTCTGTCTGTCAAATAAATAAATAAATAAATCTTAAAAAAAAAAAAAGAATGATTAAAATAGCAAATTTTATGTTGTATATAATTTATCCAAATAACAAAAAAATTAAAAAGCCAAATATTTACAAAATGCACATCACTATTTGTCTGATGTAACTATTTAAGTTTTTTATTTTTTATTTTATTTTTTTAGAGAGAGAGGGAACATGTAAGGGGGTGGGGGGCAGAGAGAATCTTAAGTAGGCTCCACGTCCGGTGTGGAGGCCAACCCAGAGTTGGATCTCTTATGACTCTGAGATCATGACCTGAGCCAAAATCACGAGTCCTGCTTAACCGGCTGAGTCACCTGGGTGTCCCTTGTCTGATGTAATTATTAACTGAGTTTATTCCAAGTTCCAAAATGTGACTGATAGCCTCTAATCACCAAGCAACAAAATTTTGTTCTTTTAGGCTAATTCAGAAGGTTTTAACACTTAAAGTATTATGGAAGAAAAAATCTGGCCTTCATTCTCCAAATTAATGTTTCCTGACCTCCCTTTTGTAACATCCTAGGTATCTCCAGTTATCTCAAGGAATTTATAAAATTCTTAAGACAAAATTTAATTTACTTAAATCTTTGAAGCACATGCTATATATTATATTGCCTCTTATAGAAGATTTTAACTTATTATTCAGATTAAACTGACCTTTAAAGGGTGCTCATGAGTAAAGAGGACTTTAAACAGATGTGACCCATTCACTTATTACCAGGATTCTCTGACCTGCCTTTACAGGTTGCTTATAGTGTAGAGAGTTATCACACTTTAAGCAAATCAGTTATTTCAAATAATAATGCGACAAAGTAAATATTTAACTTCTACAAGACTGAGAATAATTCTAGGCAGTGTTTCCTGACAGTGATTAGATGAGTTTTATAATTTCCCGAATTAGAATTAAATATATAGAGATTTAACATAGTTATTAATTTTTAGATATTACTATATTATTTAATCTTTTTTCCTTCATAACTGTAAAATTCTTTATAAAGTTACCTCCCCTAGCCGTCTTTGATGACCAGTAGTGTGAAAATTGTTTTGTTTTGTTTTTTTTTTACTTTTAACAAATTTTAACAAATTGTATCAGTTAGAATATTTTATTATCCCTTGATACAAGTTCAGTTGAACTTGTGTGGTGCTTAATACGTACATTCTCAAGTAAAAGATTACTTTCTCTTCCAATGTTTTATGTGGGCATCGTTATGTTGTAAGTTGTCCCCGCTTTTTGTATTTGTTGAAAAGAATTTCCTTTTCATGCATGTATTTACATTGGTATTTTTAGGTAAAAATCAAGAGAAACTACTATATCATATAATAAAATTTGTCTCCTTCTCTTTTAGGATATTTTCTTTTCTGGATGTTGTTACTTTGTGTCGCTGTGCTCAGGTCTCCAGGGTAAGAATGGTTGAGATTATTCTAGGGGTACCCCTTCCTGATGCTGATGATGTCAGCCTCTCTAGTAGGCAAACCGTTTACTTCAAATGTTAGTTGTATGTTATGTTTCAGAGGATGGTATTTTATGCATGGCATTCCCAAATTCTGCAGTGGCCTTCTGCAATATGTACTGTCTCTAACTTTAATTTTTTGGAAATCTTAACTATTTGTAAAATGCAAACAGAGGAAACATTTTTAAGGAAAAGATATTAAACATGCAAATCAAAAGAATAGGCTCTACTCAGAATTGTAATAAAATAGTGTTTCATTGTTTTTCTAGTTCATTTTATGTGCACACACACACACACACACACAGAAGGCTCAGGGCTCTAATTCTCATGTTATTTCCCCATATTGCTTTCCTCAAAAGATAATAGCTAGAATATAATTTATTTTAAAATTATAGGGCAAACCAGATTCCATTCTTAAAATCAATTTTTAATTTCACTTAATTATCCATTTTTTATGATAAAACTGAAACATCATAATCTTATTGGCTGCCACTAACAAAGAATAGATTCTGTGTTGTGGGAATATTGCTTTCTTTTTTGTAATACAGATCTATAATGATTAACTTACAGTGAATGAGCACATGCAATCATCATTTTTTTTAATAAACCGGACAGTGGCTTTTTGCTTGTTCATTTAATAAATACTGAGAAACTACTGGGTATGAGATATGGTCCTAGGTGCTGGATATGGAACAGGTTTATACCATACTGTGTTTATCTTTGTAGCTGTGCACAGGTTTTCAAATAACCAACACTACTCCCCTCAAAAAAACCCCACAAAACTTGCCATAGAAAATTCACTGTGTCTTGCTAACTTTAAGGTAATTTCTGCATCCCAAAAGCTGTACTAAATCAGTGTATCAGCTACTCTGGAAATGGTCAGTAATATTTTGGTGATTTTTTTCTTCATGACTTTTTTGTCCCTTGTATTTGTGCTATGGATATGGCTGATACAAATAAATAGGGTTTCCTTAATATCTCCATTTGAAGCTGAGGTCATCATTGAGAAAATACCGAGGCCAGTATCTTAACTTTTTTGTTTAGTTGCAGTCTCATCTCATGGGTGTTGATTTTAGCGAATTTTAATTGTTTTCATTTGCAGGTTCCTCTTCCCTATTAATGTTTTAACTTAAAGGAAAGAACACCCAGTTTTCATTAAATCTGGAGAATTGGTACATCAGTAGTTATGCTATTGTTCTCTACTTAAAGTACTTAACGAATTAGTTTTAAAAAACAAAGACCCTAGAAAGGACCTTGTGATTCCTAATTTTAGTCTCAGGTTGTCATGTTTCCTTACTGGAGAAAGTAGGAAAATGACAAACATCAAATCAAACCAGAAGTATATTAAGCCTAAGAATCTAGTAAACATGCGACCTTCAGAAGTTTTATCTTTTGTCTCACATGGCTAGCCATTTAAGAAACCATGAGACCGCAAAAAGAAAAGCAACATTAACTCCTGAGAAAACCTTTAAGATTTCCAGAGTAATAACTTTATTTACCCTCATACTCCTAACATATTTCTGGCAGATTGTGTGACATCCTGGAGCTTACAAGGATATTCAGTTTCCTTATTAGTATCTCAGTATTGACTCCATTTTGATGTATTGTAGTAAAAGATAATATTCTAAGTTTATAAGTCAACAATATTAAGACTTTTGTTTACACTTTAATAAGGAAAACTTTTAAAGGCTTTCTCATTAAAATGTGATACACAAGTCAAGTCTTATTGGAGTCATTTTTTCTAATCCTGAAAAGTAGAAATTCTTGCCTCTCTTTAGCCTAATTGAAGAAATGTATGAGAAGTCTTAAATGATCACTGTTTTAAGATTTCCACTGACTCAAGATAGAGGGAAAGATGACCAGTTGAGAAACATGCCTCAGTGAGGAAATTGGTAATGAGGAAAGCAATAAGATTCTGTCTTGGATGTGAAGAAACGAGGGTGTCTTTTCTAAGTCCCAGGTCACTGTATCAGTTTCAAGTCTGACCAAGTGATTGTGGATGGCAACTCTGTGTATTGAATGTGGCCGTATTCAGAGTGTTTTCCTCTTTGGTTTTATCTCATCTTGCTCTTCGTTGAAGCATGGAGTAAGAGACTTGTTTTTCATCTCCAGAAGTATCTCATTTGGAGATCAAAAACTAAATTTTCCAGTTAGAAAAGAATTTCTGGCTAGGATACTTATCACAGACTGTCCTCTTCTGACATCCCCTCCCCCACCCCAGCTGCTGGTTTCTGTATCTGTTCATTTATGATATAATCTAATTGAATAAAATATGAATCAGAGACAAGGCAGACCTTTTGGGGGTTAATGTGGGGGGCTGAGAAGTTTTTTGGTCAATTTCTTTTATTAGTTTGAATTGTGAACTTGAATATTGCTGGTTTTCCCCCTTGAGCTTCTGCTCATTTTGTCTCTTTTTCTTCAAAACAGGCCTGGAATGTTCTGGCTCTGGATGGCAGTAACTGGCAGCGGATTGACCTGTTTGATTTCCAGAGGGATATTGAGGTATAATTATGTGATGTGTGGCCCCATTTCTCATGTTAGAATGTAATTACAGCATGGAACAGATTAGCCCCAACCATATAAATCTCCTTTCCCTGGAGAGAGAAACTATTAATTTCAGTGCATCTGAACTTCATGGGAACCAGCAGCTTCAGATTTTGAGAACAAGCAGAACTATTTTACTGATGGAATACTAAATGATTTAGTATTAAAAGGACTAGAAATTTTTTTTATTTTTGTGGTGGAAATGTGAACATGTATTTGCTCTTTTAAAGAAGTCTTTGTATTTGCTTTTTGAAGAATGAATAGAGGGGCACCTGGGTGGTTCAGTCATTAAGCATCTGGCTTCGGCTCAGGTCATGATCCCAGGGTCCTGGGATTGAGCCCCACGTTGGACTTCCTGTTCAGTGGGGTGTCTGCTTCTTTCTCTTTCACTCCCCTTGCTTGTGTTCCCTCTCTTGCTGTGTCTCTGTCAAATTAAATAAAATCTTTTAAAAAAGAGAGAGAGATGAAGAATGAATAGAGTTAACAGTTTATTGGGGAATGGTATTTGCATAAATTCTAATTGAGATGAGCATTTGGCTTTAGGGGAGCCTACAGACAATTTTTATGGAGAATGAAAAAAGAATAAAGCCAAAGTAATTTAATGAAGTATTTTTGCTGGGGAGAGATTTTTTTTTCCCCCTCCTCACTTCTTCCTCATTATTTCATCTCTTAGTATAGACTGTTATTTCTAAAACAGAAAAGGATAATGGCTTAAACTTAAATTATTTTAACATGAACTTGAATTCTGTGGTCCTTGATTTTCTTGTCAGGAGAGTGAAAATAATAGCTTCCTCATTGTATTATAAGGATAAAATGAGATTTAGATTTAAAAAATTTTTAAGTTCCAGGGAACTTGTCTTGAGGATCCATATAAGAAGTTTTTCAAAGCCTCACGCGAACTTTCCATTAGAAACGGAACTTTCGTGGCGCCTGGGTGGCTCAGTGGGTTAAAGCCTCTGCCTTCAGCTCAGGTCATGATCCCAGGATCCTGAGATTGAGCCCCACATTGGGCTTTCTGCTCAGCGAGGAGCCTGCTTCCCTTCCTCTCTCTCCCTGCCTCTCTGCCTACTTGTGATCTCTGTCAAATAAATAAATAAAATCTTTAAAAAAAAGAAAGAAACGGAACTTTCCATTTCTACAGAAAGTGCTTTTAAAATAATACTCACTGATATCTTGCTAGATTCTCATGTTTTTCACAATTGCCTAATCTTCATGGATATAAATGTTTAAAACAACATGACCCATAAAATCATTCAGCAATCTTCTGTTAAGTGTCCATTGAGTTTCCGCTGTATTTAGAATGCTGTAGTAAACACTTGGGGGAGGATTCAGAAGGAATAAAGATAGCTAATGTCCTTTAGTAGCTGTAGGAGGGCAGTCTGCGTTAGTATAGTAGCCTAGGAAGTGCAGAGCACCATTTCCTCAACTGCAGAGTGTCTCTCAAACTGAGCAGAATGCACAATACAGGGTTTAAGCCTGTTTCAAGTAGATGAGTTGATCACAGTTTTCTCAAAGTAAGTTGGAATTTCTTTCTTGAATTAGATTTTGAAAACAAGTAGAAGCTTTTTCTTTGCTTATAAATTATTTAAAAACAAGGATGTGTTCTTTTCAAAAACAATGTGGTACCTTAATTTTCTATTTTGTTTTGTTTACCTGTCTTTTTTTACAGGGCCGGGTAGTGGAGAATATTTCAAAAAGATGTGGGGGCTTTTTACGAAAGTTAAGTCTTCGTGGGTGTCTTGGAGTAGGAGACAATGCATTAAGGTAAGCACCTAACTATTGATTAATTGATGTTCTTGGCTGAAGTAAGGAACAGCACTATTTCACCCAGAAAAAGCTAAAATAATTTTTATATTCTTAAGCCCTTCAGAACCCAAACATACATACGTTGCTTATAACACAAAAATAGCCAGTATTGGGAGGTATGGTTTTGAGAATAAAACAAGAATAAGTATTCCCCACCAAAAGCCAGATTCCTCACATCATAAATGGCTCTTTTGGAGCCTTGAGTAAATTTTTTTTTAATTTGTTGACTCAGAGTTAGGGTAATTTTAACCTTGGTTGACACAAAGGTCAATATTTAAAAGTTCGTTGTTGAAAATGAATTTATTTGTAATGTGAGCTAGTTTTGTACAAATATCCGGTATTACCAATAGTAATATCTTTTATTATTTTTTGTAATGCCTAGAATTATGCCCATTTCTTTTCACATCTTTAACTTAACTTTGTTTCTTTCCTGTAAAGGACTTTTGCACAAAATTGTAGGAACATTGAAGTACTGAATCTAAATGGATGTACAAAGACAACAGATGCGTAAGTATTTTATGTTTTATTTATTTTATTTATTTATTTTTTTTAAGATTTTACTTATTTATCTGACAGAGAGAGAGATAACAAGTAGGCAGAGAGGCAGGCAGAGAGAGAGGAGAAAGCAGGCTTCCCGCTGAGCGGAGAGCCCGATGTGGGGCTCGATCCCAAGACCCTGGGATCATGACCTGAGCCGAAGGCAGAGGCTCTAACCCACTGAGCCACCCAGGCGCCCCTATTTTATGTTTTAGAAGGGTAAGTCATAGCCCCTTGTGTCCTGCCTATACTAGCTTTAAATGTGGGCACTTAAATACATTTAGCAAATTTTCATCTTACAGAGGGAAGATATTTTAAAAGGAAAAAACAACATTAAAATGGAAATGGCGTAAGAAACTTGTTTTGGAATCTGGCCCAAATTCTATCTTGATATTTAAAGTGAAGCTTAAAAATTATAGACCATGCAGTAGAGATATTAATAATACAAATTACTAGGTCTATTTATATTTCAAGATACTAGTAGGTTTCATTCAAAAAACAAGGTAAACAGGAGTGCCTGGATGGCTCAGTCATTTGAGCATTGATTTTGCCTCTGGTCTGATCTCAGGGTCCTGGGATTGACCCCCACCCTCAACCCTTTGGGCTCTGTGCTCACTGGGGAGTCTGCTTGTCCCTTTGCCCTCCTCCCCGCCTGTACTCTCTCTCTCTCTCTCTCTCTCAAGTAAATAAATAAAATCTTGTAAAAAAAATAGTAAACAGATAATTCTATTAAAAAGATATAAAATCTTACATAATTAAACAACTTGCAATAAAATTGAGCATATATTAAATGACCCTTTAAGTGTACTATGTCTGTTTCAGTTACAGTATAAATGAAATCAGTCCTTCATCCTTGAGAGCTTACTATCACAGATAAAAGAGACATGGAAGATAGACATAAAAAACATTCAGCACCCCCCTCCCCAAATTCAGTTCCAGGCTATCTGTTGGTAATAAGATGTATCAGATAACACTTAAAATTACATAGGGAAATTGTTTCCTATTTTAAGGTGAAATGAAGCAGTTAGGAAGCATGTTTATACAGGGTGGGGCCAGAATGTTCCTGTTCAAAAAAGGCCTCATGGAGATGGGATCTTTATAATTGCTTTAATAAAGGAAAGTGGAAGACACTCCAGACACAGGGTACAGTTTATTTCATTCCTTTCTTTGAGATCACAACATTGTTAACTTTTAGTATAAGAAAGTGTCTGAAAGACAAGAACTATGGTTATTAATTCTACAGTGGTAGAATCACAAGAATACTTGTAATAGTAAGCAAGTATTATTTCTGAGGATTGATTTGACCCTTTAACATGAGAAATAAATCTAACCCTTCCCCTAACTATGACTTTATACCAGTAGTCCACCTTTACTTCAGATAAATTACCTGTTTATTTTTTTCTCCTACATACTTAATGTTACAGAGATAAAGAATCTGACCAGTTTGGTATCTAGACGAGTGACATACGATTTACACTTTTTTCTAGGAATCTATCCTATAAACCAAAGATAAACTGACAAAAATATGGTATAATTTATGTACGAAGCTATTCATTTTTATTGTTTGTAATAACAAATACTGCAATATATTTTTTTAAGATTTTATTTACTTATTTGACAGAGAGCAGGAGAGCACAGGTCAGAGGAGCTGCAGGCAGAGGGAGAGGGAGAAGCAGGCTACCCACCGAATAAGGACCCCAATGTGGGGGCTTGATCCTAGGACCCTGGCATCATGACCTGAGCCAAAGACAGTTGTTTAAGCAACTGTACCACCAAGGTGCCCCAAATAGTGCAATATTTCTAATAGCAAGAGACGGGAAACAATCCAAATATCATTCCATAGAGCACTGTTAAAAGGAATGAGGAGCTATATAGTATTCTGGAATGATCTCCAGGACGTACTGTTCAGAAAGTGAACTGCAAAGGAGTTTGTATAAGATGTTTTTTGTAGCAGTGCCTGGATGGCTCAATAGGTTGTTTCTGCCTTTAGCTCAGGTTATGATCTCGGGTCCTGGGATATAGCCCCTCATTGGGCTCCCTGCTCAGTGAGGAGTCTGCTTCTCCTTTTCCCTCTCCTCCCATAGCTCATGCACACACTTGTGCGTGCTCTCTCTTTCAAATAAATAAGTCAATAAAATCTTCTTAAAAAGATACTTTTTGGGACGCCTGGGTGGCTCAGTTGGTTAAGCGGCTGCCTTCGGCTCAGGTCATGATCCCAGCGTCCTGGGATCGAGTCCCACATCGGGCTCCTTGCTCGGCAGGGAGCCTGCTTCTCCCTCTGCCTCTGCCTACCACTCTGTCTGCCTGTGCTCATGCTCTCTCTCTCTCTCTCTCTCTCTAACAAATAAATAAATAAAATCTTTAAAAAAAAAAAAAAGATACTTTTTGTAGGGCCAGGAGACAATATAAATAAATATTGCTCTTTATTTACATTTTTTTAAAGATTTTATTTATTTATTTGACAGACAGAGATCACAAGTAGACAGAGAGACAGGCAGAGAGAGAGAGGGAAGCAGGCTCCCTGCCGAGCAGAGAGCCCGATGTGGGACTCGATCCCAGGACCCTGAGATCACGACCTGAGCCGAAGGCAGCGGCTTAACCCACTGAGCCACCCAGGCACCCTTTATTTACATTTTTAAAAAGAAGCAATGGAAAGATAATCAAATGATTGATTTATCAAATGGTGATTTATAAGTGAGAGAGAGAAAACAGGGAGAGATGAAAGGGAGACTCTGAAGTATCATGTTTTATAGTTTTACTTTAATAGCTAGCTATGTAAATGTTTTATATAATTAAAATATTAATTAAGTCAAAAAGAAATCAAAGCACTCCCTAAAAACTGAAAACAAAATAAAACATGTGAACCCATGGGGCATCTGGGTGGCTCAGTCATTGAGCTCTGCCTTCGGTTCAGGTCATGATCCCAGGGTCCTGGGATTGAGCCCCACATCGGGCTCCCTGCTCGTCAGGAAGCCTGCTTCTCCCTCTGGCACTCCCCCTGCTTGTGTTCCCTCTCTTGCTGTGTCTCTCTCTGTCAAATAAATAAAATTAAAAAAAAAACAAAAAAACATGAACCCAGTCACATCAAGTTGGAGCTATAACCACACAGAGAGAAATTACTTCTACTGACTTTTGATTTTTTTTTTAAGATTTTATTTATTTATTTAACAGAGAGAGGGAACACAAGCAAGTGGAGCATGAGATTGAGAAGCAGACTTCCCACTGAGCAGGGAGTCCCGTGTGCAGCTCAATCCCAAGACCCTGGGATCATGCCCTGAACTAAAAACAGACGCTTAACCAACTGAGTCACCCAGGCACCCCTGATTTTTGCATTCTTACAAAAAGTTTTTTTTAAGATTTTATTTATTTATTTGACAGAGATGACAAGTAGGCAGGGAGAGAGGGGGAAGTAGGCTCCCTGCTGAGCAAAGAGCCTGATGCGGGGCTCGACCCCAAGACCCTAAGATCATGAGCCAGACCGAAGGCAGAGGCTTGACCCACTGAGCCACCCAGGCACCCCGAATTCTTACAAAAACTTTTAAATCTATACCAAGGTAGACAAAAGTGTATAATGAACCCATCACCCAGCTTCAAATTGATAATCGAAAAATTAATCACTTTAGGGCCAGTCTTGTTTCATCTATATCGTGAAATTTTTCTTATTTTGAAAAAAGTCCTAAACATCATATTATATAACCTGTAAGTATATATTTCTAGAAGATAAAAGCTTTTAACATAAGCATGTTAACTTTATCACTCCTATTTAAAAAAAAAAAAAAAAAGCTTACTGTCTTAAAATCATCAAATAACCACTAGTCCAGATTTTTGCTTGTTCTAGTGACTTTAGAAACATAATATTTTGAAGAGTAAGAGATCAGAAAGTGACTGGAATTTTTGTCTCAAGATGAGGGATCTATTCAAAAAGGGCTATAGGAATCTACATGGATTTGGCTGATAGTAAACTGTAGGTGCACATATTGAGACCCCACAGAGCCAGGCAAAGAACATCTAATAAGGGAAGAACAATTACTGGAAAACTTGAAAGTGAAAAATTGCCAGAGCTTAAATAAGGCTGGGAGAAGTTCTGACTACCTCAAATAGAGAATACCTTGGGACATTTAATAACAGACTTCAGAAAAGTCACATCTTGGTAGTAAAGCTAGACTAGACCTGTCCCAGTAAAGGTTAAAAGAAAAAAATTTAGAACCAAACTGACCCATAACTAATTTAGTGATCTGCTAAGTAAGTTTAAATTCATCATTCTTTTTTGAAGAAGGCGACAAACCTAGACACTCAGCATACAGAATTTCCACATTCAGCGAAAATTACAAAGACATGCAAAAGAGCATGAAATGATAACCAGATTACCATTGTAGTCTCTTATCTGTACCAACCAGATAACCATTGTAGTCAATAGAAACAGACCCAGAAATGATAGAGATTAGAAAATTGACCAATAAAACATTTAAAAATAGCAAGTACAAATGTGCTCAAGAATTTACAAGAAAACTTAAAGATAATACGGACTTGGAAGTAAAAGGATGAGAAAGTATATACTATCACAATCACTAATCACAGGAAACTTGGAGTGGTTATTAATATGAGATGATGTAAACTTCAGGGAAAAATGCAAATGGAAGACATTAAATAGTAAATGGTAAGTAGACCAAAAACTGGTAGAGCTCTAGAAGACTTGAGCAACAGTGAACTTGTCCTAATATCACCCTTCAAAATAACATGGGTCAAAGAATAGATTACGGAGAAAACTAAAAAGTAGGTTTTGCTGTGTGATAATGAAAGCACATTTGAAACTTGTGGACTGTACCAAAGGCAATACTTCAGAGAAAAGTGTAGTTTCAAATGCTTATGTTAGAAAAGAAAGGTTTAAAATTAAGGATGTAGGGGTACCTAACTGGCTCAGTTAGTAGAGCATGTGACTCTTGACCTCACAGTGGGGAGTGAGTCCCACG